ATTCATGCATTATTTAATTAAAATTAACACATGAATGTATACTGAAATACATTAATGCCTATAATGCAATATAAATAGATATACATTGAAATACATACAGTACATACCTACTTTTTTCTTCCAGCCTCTGCATACATATAGCCTTATTTTAATTCCTTTTTAAAGCTTTGATTTTCTGGGATATTCAATGATTTAAAAAAGCAAAAAACAAAGGTATAATAGGTTTTTTTTGTACCCAATGGAAGCATCCATTCCAACTTATCTACAATTTTTCTCTGGTATTTTTAGGCTCTGGTTGAAGATGGAAGTGGATTATTTGCAGATCAAATGTACTCAAAAAGAAATGTACAGAAGCATCAAGATAGTATTGGGATGTTGTTTGCTCCTTTTTTTTTTTTTTTTAATGACACAACATATTCTTTCTCTTTTGTAGAAAGGATAGTGGACCACACTTTTACAACCAGCACTAAATAAATAATCCTCCTCCGTTTTTTCAGCTTCTGAAAAGCATAAAAGCTAAAAGCATAAAGAACACCAGTCACGTGTTAGGAATACCCTCTATAAGAGGACCTAAAAGAGATAATAGAACTAAGGGCTAAAGAAGGATAGGGTACAATAATGCACTTGATCTTAGCCCAAAGACTGAAAACACGCCACCAGACCATTTAAGATCAGGAAATAACTTGTGGGATAATGATAAATTATAATGTCTATCTTCCACGTTAGGGTAGGTTTTATTTTTGTTTTTTTTGTTTTTTGTTTGTTTGTCTAAAAGATGGAATGAGAAGGTCCACAAATGATAGAGAGGGGGATCACAAACATCATGGGAATAATTCTTCAGTCTGAATGTGTTAAGCCACACTCAGTTAAAAAGAGGGCATCTAATGCTTGATCAACATAATCAGATAAAACACATGGTACAGTTTCAGGATGTATAATTCTGGGCTGCAAATGGGTATCGTATTTCACATACCCTTACTCCACAAGTGGTTTAATATTAGTGGCATAGGTATGCCATTTTGACAGGGATGTCACATCTTATCATCCTGATGGGACCTTCCTTCTGGCCTGCTCAAAGCCCTAGGAGAAATGGAATGAACTGAAGAATACCTGTAGTACTTCTCCACTGTTTTGCTCAAAATACTTTGAGAGAACGTTACATTTCAATTTGTTTCTCCTTCTGCTAAAATAGTCTGGGATTAAACCAACTCCACACATTTAGGGCTCCTTTTCCTGCAAGAGTTGATAGACCTGTCTCCTTTTGTGATATAGGAGCACATTTCTTTCTGTCCTGGTAATCAGAACCCTCCACAGATAAACGATTGGAATCTAGATTATAATTATTACTCCTGCCTAAGACAGAATGTCTACTTCTAGTACCAACAATAGAATTTTCTTCTACTCCTATTCAACCATTAGTAAGACCTGTTTTCCCGTATTTCCATATCTGGGTGCTCTTGGCATCCTAATTTACCTAAGTGAATTCATCATCTCCTTCATTCTCAGTCTTGGAGGAATCAGATGTCTCCACATGTCTTTCATTCCCTTTGGTAGTATCAGAACCAATCAGAGGCCAATTGCTCCTTTCCATTTACTCCCCTTCAGCTGTTGTGCAAATTGAAAGAGGAAAAGGGACGGGTGGGAAACGGGCCTTTCATTTCTCTGTTAAATAACCTTGCAGACTCTAATTTGAAACAAACAAAGCGTCTTAAAGCATTTCTCCTTGGAGGATTGTACTGAGTGTTACTAAATTGCTGAATATTTAATAGTCATATACATGCTCCAGACCCCAAGGTCTGTCCCCCAAATGATAAGCTCTTTTTTATTAAATGAACTTTAATTACTTAATAATTAGACTGTCTGTAGGGAGAAGATAGAGATCTTGATAGGCTTCCAACTAGGCTGTAGGGCAAATCAAGCTTGCGTGGCATTTTTTGATTAGAAATTAAAAGCAGGTGTACTAAGTATTTGCCGAGGCCCTGGTTAGGAGGCAATCTTCCCTTAGGGGACAAAGACTTGATGAGAAGTTGAGCTGTGGAAGACATTGTTTTGTGATGATTGTGTAAATTAACATAAACAGAAGGTATAAAAGAAGCTCAGGACAATTTAGAATGCATTGAGGAAAAGATGAAGGTGGCAGAGAGGATAAGTCACACTTCCTCATTTTATATTTCCAGCTCAACACATAAAAGAAGAATTTATACCTCTTCTTTATAAGAATCAGCTTGAGTTCCAGGTATGGTAAGAGTATGAGAGAGTTTTAAGCCTGTGCCACATTTCTCCAGAAGTAAAGACAAAGTACCATAGTCAGAAGTTACTAAGCAGCTCACTAGTTATTGTTCCTCTTTGGCTGTTTGTCTCCAACATCTGTTCTTCATACAGTAGGTGGGGTTGTTGGAAAATTTGATCAGATCTGCAAGAAACAATCCCCCCCCCCCAGTTCAGGTTCAGTTTGATGAATGAGAATTTGCTTTAAATATGATTTCAAAAGAGAAATGATCATAGGAGGATTCTGGTGTTCTTGCACTTCTTCAGTGATAGGTTGGGCAAAGGATGTGTGTGGATGTCTTGTCTTTCATTGGACAAGCATCTCACCAGCAGTGGCAGTGTCCCTGCAATCCCACACTTCTCAAAGACGTATGTCATGAACAAATGCCATCACGCCTAGCCATTGGTTAGGTGTCCAGGTTCAAAACATTACTTAACCTTGGAGTTCATTAGATAGCTTTGGGCTTGTCACTACTTGTAGGGTTTTGCATTTAGGTAGGAAAAAAACAGATGCATGGTTTTAGGATAGACAGAACTTGTGAAAAGGATCTGGGCATGCTGGTAGAGCATGGGCTAAGTATGTGGCAGCAATGCACTGCAGCTGCCAAAACAGCTAATGCAATCTTGGGCTGCATCAACAGAGGTATAGTGTCCACTCTATGATGTACTGGCTGCACCTTGAATATTGTGACCAGTTTTGGTCATCACTCTAAACAAATGAAGCTGAGAAATTGGAAACACTATAGTGAAGAGTGATGAAAATGGCGAGGGACTTGGAGGCTAAATTTGATGAAGAACGGGTAAAGGAACTGGGTATGTTTTACCTAAAGAAGAGAAGGCTGAGGAGAACATGATTGCAATGTTCCAATACTTGAAGTGCTGTCACAAGGAAGGAGGTGTGGATTTATTCTCAACCATTCCTGTGGGTAGGACCAGAACCAATGAGTTGAAGCTTTAGAGAGGGAGATCCAAGCTTGAAGTAACAAGGAATTTTCTGATTGTGAATTTTCTGATTGTGAAATTTTCTGACTGTGAATTTTCTGATTGTGACAAGGAATTTTCTGATTGTGATTCTAAGCAATAGAACAGCCTCCCTCCTGGAGTCATGGGTGCTCCCTCACTGGAGGATTTCAAGCAAAGGTTGGCAACCATTTGCATGAAGATTCCAGTCCTGGGCAGGGAGTTAGACAAGGCAACCTTCAACCCAATCATTCTGTAACTGGTTACTTCATTGGATTGTGTGATGGGAGTTGAGGGAGTTCTATGGAGAAAAAGGGCAATGAGAATGATAACGATGAAGAAGATGGGACAAGGACCTGCAAATGAACCTTCTTGGTGGTGGCCTCCACAATGTAGAACAGCCTATCCTTGTAGATGCATGCCCCCTCAACCTTTCAGCTTTTCACAAGGTTTTTAAGACCATTTCATTCTGGATAGCATTTGAGCCCTGATGATAATAGGGCTACCTTTTTCAGTTAGTTTTTATTGATTTTTCAGTCAGTAGTTTTCATTCATGATATTCAGTTCTGGGTGGGGTAAAGGTGGACTTTTATATAAGGTTCTTCTGTTTCTTGTAAATTGCCTAGAGTCTTTGAAGAAGTAGTATGAAGATTTTTGTACAAGATGGTAATGATATCCTTTCTTGACTGATTGATTATGTGCTGTCTAGTTGGGGTCAGTTCTTAGTGGCCACATAGATTTTCTTCAGGAGGATCTGCCCCAGAAAACTATCTGTTCCCTATCAGTGCTGTAATTGAGTCCAGATAATTTTCTTAGATATATTCAAATTTCATCACAGATTTTTTTGGTATAAAAATCTCACAGAAGAGGCTTTAGAAAGAGGCTCACTGATCTTTGGACCTCCAGTGTATTTCTGTGTCCCTAACAGATGGTTATTCTGCTTTTCCTTCAGCGCTTCCAGCAAATAGTGTCTGCTGTCAAATAATGTTTACCATTATGAATTTTCTTTTCATCTTTACCCATATCTATTGTCCTACTAATACTATCCTTTGACTGAACTGGCATATTGCATTAAGTCATTATTTGTTAAGCCATGATTTTGAATAAGATGAAATTGGCAGGTTTCACATAACCTGATAAATAAAAGCCAGAAGAAAAAATTATTAGGGTTTGGTATACTACATCAGCCAAGACATTGCTTCTTTTCCCAGGAGCAATTGAAACATTTTTGATGCATCTCTGCAACAGTTCCTATGATATATTCAAAGATAACTATTATATGCTCCCTTAATCCAATCTTTTCCCAATTAGAGAAACCAAGCTTTATTCAGAGGATTTGACTTCTCATATTTTAAGAACATTTATCAGGATGATCTTTTATAACTTGTGTTGCTGTGATCTGAATTTTTTCTATTTATTATGTTTAATATATATTGAGGAAATTGAAATACTTTTTATTCAGTCAATGACCAGCAAAATTCGAAAATACATCACACAAAATAAACTTGACTGTATGGTTTTAGTCTAGGACTTTAATTGGTTTTAGTTGAATTATAATTTGAGAAATGGCATTACCACCAAGTCTCCTTGGTTGAAAGGCTGAATATTATTATAAAAATAAATATTTGAAAATCACTTATGGTTGAAGGGCAATTAACTAAAATTGCCAAAACAACAAATAAAATGTTAAAAAAGTGTGGAGGGTGGGGTGGGGAGGGGGGCTTCTAGGTTTATATTCTTTCTTAATTTCAATTATCTTTACCTTTCTGCAGGTCCACTGAGGTTTCTGTCCCAGACAGACTCTATCACAGCATTTGCAGGTGACACCATTTTATTAAAGTGCGAAGTTGTTGGTGAACCTATGCCTACAGTCCACTGGCAAAGGAACCAAGAAGATCTGCTTCTGAGTCCTGGTGACACTCGAGTGGCAATTTTGCCTTCTGGATCTTTACAAATCAGTCGAATTCAAGTAGGGGATAGTGGAATATACAGATGCCTTGCAAAAAATCCTGCCAGTTCAAGAACTGGAAACGAAGCAGAAGTCCGAGTTTTGTCAGGTAAGACTAACGTCCCTCTATGTCAGTGTTTTTCAAACTTAGCAATTTTAAGATGTGTGGACTTCAACTCCCAGAATTCCCCAGCCAATGTTATGGGGTGCGAGGGCTGAGTGAATTAACATCTGGTTTAAAATTGACACACACAAATCCTCAATTTGTGGCTAAATTTCAATATGTGAAGTACTGAACTGAGCTCCTTCACTCCTGAAAAGTAACATTTTTTTGCATTTTAAATTGAAGTTATTATGAACGAATGTGCTTATTTTGTGCTAAAAATCAGGAGTCTGGTAGCACCTTTTCTGACTAACACATTTTATTAAAAGGCATAAAATTTTGTGAGCGACTGTGGCCTCCTCAAGTGAACCATGCATCTATGGAAATATGACCTTTCCAGAAAAAAAAATCACAAGAAACTAGCTGTTAAGAAAACTTAAAAGAAAAAAAAAATCTCAGTGACAATCTTTTGGTTTGTCACAAGTTTTATGCATTGATCCTGGATGAATATATAGAATGAATTGCAGTTATATTTCAGGCTGAGTCCATTGGTGAATTCTGTGATGCAAACATATTAAATGTTTTCTAGTAAAGCAATACAAAAATGGCACTTGCATTAACATATGCAAAACTGATTCAAGGCAGAAATAGATGGATTCATTTATCTCCAGCAAGCGATTCTTTGAGTTGCTTCACACTCCTGTTAGGAGCCAAATACATAAATAACACCACAATCTATTTGGGCAGATAAGTGTTGAACCTATTATTTTTCCATATACAAGATAATGTGCAATTACAAAGTGTTTAGATATACATTATGCAGCATATTATTGCTGGATGTCCCACGTGCAGAGGCTTAATTCTGCACTGAAAAATGTTCTTATTGAAGACAGTTATTTTTTAAACAAGCACTTATCTGGCAATTGCTTCATTTTATTTACTGACAATTAGTTGTGGTTTCACTTCTGCTTTAAGGGTCAGTGGGTTTTATTGTCTGCTTTGACATTTTATAAACCCCGTTCTTTTTGGATGGCAACTTCTGTGTAAAGATGCCCTACATATATAAACAGTCTTTGGAAACTACGGCGGATAACAATGCACGTCCGGTGTGTGATGAACTCAAGTACAAAAAATATCCATTGCTTTTTTTTTTTTTTCCAGGGTAACCAGCTTATCCTTGTGTGGAACTATGCAACTTTAGAATTGGGTGTGGGTGGGTGTGTTTAAGCTGCTTGAAATGCTTCATATTGTAGCAGAAAAATAAATGATTGGGGGGAAGGTTGGTTAGAAGTCACCGTTAAAAAAAAGTGCTTAGGAATGTAGGACACTGCTTTACCAGAACAGGTTATTCATCACTTAGCTTATTATGTGTCTTCCGATGGGATGTCTCCAAATTGTGGCCTAAGCTTGCGACCATCTGCATGAAGAGTCTGAGCACTGTTCCTGAACTCTGATCTCTTAATAGACCAGAACTATGCAAATCATTGCTTCCGATCTCAAGTTACATTTTTAAGGGCACTTTCTCTAACTCCATCCTATCCACCTTTTTTTTTTTTTTTTAAGAAACATTATTTTTCGATAAAGAATAAAATATAAGGAAACAGAAAAAACAAAGAGAAAGAAAAGTTCAGAGCAAAAGAAATAAAGTTACAAGTGCAGAAAAGAAAAGAAGAGAGAGAATGAATAGGTGACTTCTGAGTTTCTTTGTTGCAGATACAAATATAGAATACATACATCTTTTACTCTAAAAATATAACCCATACAGAATACTTCTCTAATCCTGAAATCTAATAATTACCAAAACCCCAAGTCAACATGGCATTTTGCAATCCCAAGCAAAAAAAAGAAAAAATAAAGCAATTTCCAAACAGAAATAAGTCTAATCCCTGCTTTTTAAATGTCAATACTTTATATCACCGTCTCTGCCACTATCCTATCCTATCCTATCCTATCCTATCCTATCCTATCCTATCCTATCCTATCCTATCCTATCCTATCCTATCCTATCCTATCCTATCCTATCCTATCGACTTTGTAATAATGTGCTGAATTGTGCTAGAGCAAGAGAAGATTGTCCAATGTGGCTTCAGCCTCCGTGATATGACAGATTTGTTATGAAGATGAATGACACATAAGCTGCAAGGATCATTGCATACTAAACATCCTATAAAAATTATTAGTCATGGTTGCAACATTTTCTTGGAAGATGAAATGGATACTTGTGTACTTTCTAGAAAGCCAAAATAAGTGGACCAAAGAAAGAGGACCAAAACAAAAATTCAGAGTTCACTTCCAGACTGATCAGACCAGTGTGAGGTATCGACCTGAGACAGCCCATCTGTTAACAATGCAAAATATTGTGATGCACACTCATCTCCTTGTTCACAAGTTGGAGGGGGCAAAGGACACACTTAGCTTTTGTGCGGCCTTCCAAGGGTCAAATTCAAAAAAGTAAGAACTAAGACAAAGGAGTGCATTCAGACTAGAAAACGACAACATCTGATTTAACTGAATTCTGATGCAGGTAGTCCTTAGGTTATAATGGCAATTGGGACTGGGATTGCCGTCGCTAAGCAATGTAGTCATAAAGCATGATGTCACATGAATGCATTGCTTAGGAGTGGCAATGCCGGCAATCCCAGTTGTCATTGTAGCCCCAGGATGCACGGGTCATTAAACAGGAAGATGCAGGAGTCTCAAGTAAGGAACGCAGGGGGTGGAGTGGGGGTACTACATGGGGTAGGGGGTACCATGGGGAGTACTGCAGAGGGATGGGGTGCTGCAGGCAGGCCCTAGGGAGTGTGGGCGGAGCTGCAGGGATGTGGGAGGGCCCACGGGGAACTTAGGCAGATCAGTAGAGGCTGCAGGAGGGCTGGTAGAGGCAACAGAAGGGGGATGCTGTAAGCAGGCACATGCTATGGAGGGCAGGCAGGTGGGGATGCGACAGAGTACGAGATCCCTGGGATCTTCTACTCTGTAGCGGGCTCCTTGGGAGAAAAAGCAGAGGGACTCACTTACTAGAGTGACTTGCAACCTTCTCTCCCAGCTTCCCCATTGACTGTGGAAAGCCAGCAGAGAAGATCACAAATGGTAATAATTTGATGTGACTTGCTGCTATGTTGTAATCGTGAGACAGGTACCCGAGTGCCCAGATCGTGATCATGTGACCATGGAGACGCTGCAATGGCCAGAACTTTGAGGACCAATCCTAAGTCCATTTTTTCAGCTGAACAAATGGACAGTTGCTGAACAAATCGATATAAGTCAGAACTACCTGTACTATACGCTTACTCCTTGTGTAGTTAACATTTTTTTCACTCTGTACCTTTAAAAAATATAAATGGTTAACCACTATTTGAGGAACATCAAGGTCCACACTCAAGATTTCTGGGGCCTGCATGAAATCCTGAGGTCTCAGATTGTCAGCCTTGGGGAACAGAAGGGTTCACAGTCAGAAACATTGTGAGAGGAGAGCCGTGTTAATCTACGGTGGCAAAAAATCAGAAGGAGTCTTGTGACATCTTTGCAACAGCTCACGAAAGCTTACATCTTTCATAAAATTTGTTAGCCAGAAAAGATGCTACCAGACTCCTCTTGATTTTTTGTCGGACACATATAACTAGTATTGCAAGGGAGTTTGGTTATCTATACGGCAAGGATTATAGCAAATAGAAGATTTTTATTTGTTACTAGCATTCAGTGTGATGCAGTGGAAAGGGAGAACAGAAGTCACATAAATGCCAAATGAACTTGGTAGATTCATTCTCTTAGTCTTCACACTCCAAGTTGTTAAAATGGCCTAGTATCTCATAGATCGTTGCAATGGACTTGGGAGGAGATAAAAGGTTACAAAGCCAGTGTGTCACATGAATGGTCACATTGTCCAGTTTTAGAACAGCAACATCGGTCTCTGCTTTTAAGTTTTGAAATTTTGAGACAGTTTCATCCAAAAGAATGACAGTTAAGACCATTTCATACTCCTGATTTTATTCTGTTTTTCTTTCATGCATTTCTTTAAAAAGTAAGTTCCCAATGCAGAATCACCTCTTTAAAATGCACCTCAATTCTTCAGGATTGGGAAACATGACCTTGAGTAGACAATCTGTGCAAACATTTCAAGATTTGATAAAAACAACCAAAGTGCCTGAATGGGCCAAGCCTTCTACTCTGAAAGGATAGGCGTGTGCAAAAGATGAGTGGACCATCTGTGATCAGTAAACATGACACAGCTCAGATGTAGTTTAGAAAAACAAAGAAAGGCTTTTTAAGCAGATGACATTTAGCTTCATATAGATAAACAAATAAATGGAAACCTTATAGTTGTTCATGTGAAATGTTTAATTCTTCACTTTTTAATCATAACCTTGCGTTCAGTTACTGTTCAACTTGTAACCGTGCAAGGCAAAATTATTTTTCCTTCCTTCCTTCCTTCCTTCCTTCCTTCCTTCCTTCCTTCCTTCCTT